ACTGGACTCTTAGAACTCCTGACCCTTTATTAGATCCCTGAAAACTATTCTCTCATCAGTATTACTGCTAGTGATATAGAAGGAGGGAGTCTCTTATAATGATGAAAAGTGAGTTAGTACAACATGTAAAATGGCTATTAGGAGGACGTAATTAGTTGGGAGGATTTGGGATGGGGGGAATTTTAGATCTTAGAGAAGGGAAAGAAAAGATGTTCAAAAGTAACATTCAAAAATGTCTTAAACACAAATTTTAAAAGTAGTATGCTTTATTATCTTTAAGCCTAAAGCAGGAAGCTCACAAGAGAAGTTCTTTTTACCAAATCTATCTTCTTTGCACTTACTTAGCTCCTTGGAAGTAGGCCCAGAACACCTCTGACCCCATTTCCCAGATTTATGATCACTTTCTAGTATAACAATACCAACCTACTCCCTTAATTTACCACCAATGTAGTTTCTTGGCAGTCTTATGCTACTGCAGATGTTTGAGGGGGAGGGTTAGTATAAGGGAGGGAGAGTTCCAGATTCAATATCACTCCAACAAAGAATGGTGCAAACCTTTGCCCTAAAGGGCACACGTGCGCACCCCACACACACACACACGTGTGTCCTTCTCTAGAGTCTATCTTGAGCTAAGGACATAAAGAAAAATACAAAGCGCTCATCCCTAGGGTCAGTAAGGGAACATTTTTCACTTCCCTTAACAGACACTGTTAAAAAGAAAAGAGTCAACCTGCCCTATGGCAGCTCTGACTATTGGTTACAACACTGTATTATCACTAGCTATTTACCAAGGAAATATATCAATTATCCAAAGCAGGTTAACATCCAATTGTAAGGCTTGCTTCATTTTAAGAGATAAGCACTGATATAACTTAAAATTCATAAAAATTACTGAAAATTTCCTTTTAAATGAAATTTAGCAAAACTTCCCAAGACAGATAAATAATCTAGATAGCACAAATCTAAATCTGTTATTCCAAACTGTATTTTTAAGCTTCTTGGCATACTAATAAAGCACATTTTTTTTTCACTTTGACCAAGAAGAATTTAACCTTACATAAAAATATGGCACACTAGGGGGAAAACTAATAACTTAACCATTTAACGTAGAAAAACCACATGATTATACGAATAGACTGTAAAAAAGTCTTTGATAAAATAGACATGAATTTGTGTCTTAAAAAGAGAATGCAAAAATTATTCTTTAATTTGATTAAAAAGTATGTGTGTGTTATGTGTGTATACAGAGAGAGAGAGAGACAGACAGACAGACAGACACTATTATTTGCAGTGACAAAACACTTAGAAGCTTTTCCAGTAAGTATGGGGTAAAACAAGGTCATTCCTTATTTCCACTACTATTTGACATTGAGATGGAAATCCTAAATAGAGCATCAGGCAAGAGAGTAATTAAAGGATAAAAAACATCTGCAAAGACAAAATAAAATTAGCCCTATTTGCAGATGTCATGATAGTTTCAAGTTAAAAATGAGATTTTTTTGTTTACTAGTTTTATTCTTCATAGTGACTAGAACAGTGCCCACCACATAGCAAGTGCTTAATATATGCTTCCTCACTGATTAGAAATCTCCAGAGATTCAGGGTAGAACTTACTTAAGACAATTAAAAGCTAAAGAAGTAGAGTACAAAAAATTTCACAAAAAAAAATCAGTATTTCAATACAGTGTTATAAATATACAAAGCAAAGTACAAAAAGACTCCTTCAATTTCAGAAGAACTGTGAGATACATAAAACATATGGAAATTAACTTAGCAAGACCTCCTCAAGATTTACATAAGTATAATAACAAAACAAACAACAGAAATAAAGGAATATTTAAACAGCTAGAGAAACATTAATTGTGAGTGACTGGGCCAAGCCAGTAAGAAAATTATATTACCAAAATTAATTTACAGACATAGGATCCTACTGATGAAAATACAAAGAAATTACTTTATGAAAATATACAAAAATAAAATAAAATTAATCAGGAAAAAAGTTCAAGTATATCAAGAAAATGGGGGGGGTGATAAGAAAGAAGAATATCTGCCATTATACTATTACCATATTTCAAACTACAATAATAAAGCAGTTTTTAAAAAACAGAAAAACTGAAACAGATTAGGGAAAGAAGATATAGAAACAATTGGGAGAGTAAGGGGGTCCAGCAAACCCAAGAACACCAAAACATCAACTACTAGAGTAAGGACTCCCTATTAAATTAATTCAACATCCATGTAATTGGACTTTATGCTTCAAGTCTCTGCCCATTCTCTCACTTATCCTCCACAAAGCTGCCAAAGTGGTTTTCTTAAATATGGGACAGACCATGCCACCTCTATTCATTAAACTACAATTTCAACTCTTCTTCTGTGCCCAAATATAAACACCTCTCTTGTGCATTTAAAGTTCTTCATAACCTGGCCACTTCTTATTATGACAACCTTTTAGCACATTACTCTCCTCCTCTGTTCCATTGATACTGGCCTATTTGCTGTTCCTTACATTTTATTTCACAACAATATGATTTTGTACTACTCAAATCTCATGACTAGAATGTTCTAGTAACTTCCCCTTTAAACATACTTTCCATATTCTTGGTATTGCATACACACACACACACACACACACACACACACACACACACACACAGCAATAATCAACAATTTACTTAGCACCTCCTGGGTGCCAGACCTTATGCTACGCTGGGGATACAAAAAAGGGCAAAAGACGATCCCTGCCCTTAAAATGTTCACAATCTAATGGTAGAAAAACCAAGCAAACAAACATGTGCTAACAAACTATATACAGGATAAATAGGAAATAATTTAGAAACAGAAGGTGTGAAAATTAAAACAAATCAGGATATGCTTCCTGCAGAAGATTAAAAAAATATGCCCAGAGCTGAGATCTGTAAGGTCTTATTCATGGACACATAGAAGGCCAGGGTCAGAGAGTATAAGGTAGGGACTAAGGTATAAGAAGACTGGTAAGGTAAGAAGGGGCTAAGGCATAAGGGGCTTTGAATACCAAACACAGCACTTTGTATTTGTTCCTGGAGGCAGTAGGGAGACACTGTAGTTTATCTGGGGAGGGGACAGGCTGAGCAGACTTGCACTTAAGGAAAATCATTTTGCAGGCTAGATGGAGAATGGATTGAAGCAGAGAGAGACTCGAAGCAGAAGACCCACTAGCAGGCAACAGTCCAGGCAGGAGGTGATAAGGGAGGGCCTGCACAAGAGCAGTGGCGATATAAGACAAGAAAAAGGAATATTTGAGAGATACCACAAAGGTGAAATTGACAAGCCTTAAGAACACTGTATATGCAGGGTTAGAGATAGTAAACAATCCAAGGTGACTCTTAAATTGGGAGCCTGAGGGACTGAGAGGATGGTGCTGCCCTCTCTGGTAATAGGGTAGGACAGGGAAGGTTTTAGTGTGGAAGATAGTAAGTTCTGTTCCGGACATATTGAGTTTAAGATGTCTGTTGGATATTCAATTTGAGATGTCTGAAAAATGTTAGAGATGCAATATTGGAGGTTAGCAGAGAGACTGGAACAGGATTGATAGATTTGAGAATTATCAGCATAGAGATGCTAATTAAATCCATGACAGCTGATGAAATCATCAAGTGAAGTTGTATAAAAGGAAAAGAGAAAAAAGCCCAGGACCAAAGACTGAGCAACAACTATAGTTTTAGAGGAAAGGATCTGAAGGAGTATCCAGCAAAGAAAACAGAGAAGTGGCCAAATTCACATAGAATTGTCTCCCTCGTTAGAGTGTAAGCTCTTTCAGGGCAGAAAGTGTTTTTATTTTGTATCCCTCGCACTCAACACAGTTGTCTGTTACACAGAAAAAAACCTAAATAAATGTTTGTTTTTTGATTAACTAAAGAATGTAAAAGTATACTGTGGTATAAAGAAGTAATGCTATATAATAGCTCCATAAAAAATGGTGAATAGAGAAATGTATATAAAACACTATTGAGCAAAGAAAAAAAGCATGATAACAGTATTAAAACAGAGTTTAACTAGGATGAATCATAATGGCTAATGTTTATTATGGAGAACTGACAATGAAACACACTTTCCTTTACTACAGAGGGTCTATGGATGCAGAATGTGACATATACTTTTCGATGCAGTTGATGTGATTGGTGGTTTGGATTCTGATTTGTTAAAAAAAAAAAAGACTCAGTAGGAACGAGTGTTTGGGTAAATGAGTGGTTAAAATCAAAATCCAACAATAAAACTGAAAAAATTAGAAAGACAGAATGATGCAGTGGAAAATGTGCTGGATTTGGAGTCAAAGCAACTCTGTTCAATCGCTGGCTCTGGCACTTACTACTGTGGACTTTGGAAAGAGTCAACCTCTCCAGACCTCATTTTCCTCATCTGTAAGATTAGTAGGTTATACTGAATTCCCAACTAGCTCTCGTCCCACGGTTTTATGAATTTTGTGGGGCTATTCAGGAAGGAATTTTGTTTTGACATATAGAGATGGCTATGCACTTTCCAGTACAACTCTATCATTTATGGACAAACATCTTACACATGTAAAAACTAAATTTTCATCTCTAATGACCAAACTAAATATCATTACAAGCTTGATTTGCTCATATTCCAGTGATAGCATAATGTAATAGAATGAATATTGGATTATGAGTCAGGAAATCCCTGCTTCACTCTTCCTGGGGGTATGACTGTGGGCTGATCATGTCACTTCTATAAATCAGAGAGTTCAAATTTGCAAAATGGGGATGAAGATGATTGCTCTAAGTACCAGATTACTGTAAGGCTCCCATGAGATCATAGCTTTAACTACTATATAAATAACTGTTAGTATGTCAACTTTAGAACAAATAAAAATATTTCTTTAACTAGGAGAAGAAATTGGCTGTAGCTCAAGGATCTCCAAAGTAAGCAGCCTTACCATTCATTTACTGTTTCATTAATGAAAGCATCCACAACTATGCTCCAATGATTATTTTCATACTTACAGTAATCCTTTCATCTCTATCATCCAATGGTGATCCATCTTTTTTCCATGAAATAGTGGGTTCTGGATGGCCTCTTGGAGGCTGGCATTCCATCACTGCAGGCTCTCCTACTGCCACCATTACATCTGAGGGGTTTTGCCTGAAGTCATCTCGTAGTACTTAAAAGAAACAGAAGTCAAACATTACCATCAGCGTTGGTGTGTGTGTGTGTGAATAGACAGATATTTCACTATATCAGATATTACAACAGGACTTAAGAATAGTGAGCTCACTGAATTTGTTAGAGGTACAATTTAGTCATAGTTATCTATTTCTTTAAGAAAGGAATCCTAATCTGAGGATGTTAATATTCAGTACTCAGTGTTATCACTGTTATTTCTATTAACACATTCTTAATAGTCCATTTTCTTCATTAAGCCTACTCTTTTTATAATCTCATAACTAATGAGAATTGGACTAGAAGAAACTATATAAAATTCAAATTTTCTAGTTACACATATAAGCTAAATGAATTATATAGAAATAAACACTAATATAAAAACGAAAAGTAAAAACAAAGATGTGAAATTTGGTTCTTTTAAATAACTTCACAAGACTATTTCAGTGGGAGGATTTAAAAATAGCACTGGTGTGACACTTTGGTGTATATAATCACTGTCGTTTATATATTTTTCTTTAAAAAAAAAGAAATTAGACATGTTACAAAAGCTATTAAATTCAGAATTCTTTTTTTTTCCTTCTTCCATCTAAAAAGTCCAAGAGACTGAAAAATGTATACGGAAGTTGTCAAAGTACATGTATTTTTTCACAATAAAATATTTACAAAAAAAAATATTCTGCATATTTACCATGTCTACTTTAGTCTAACATAATAAGATAAATGGTAATAAAAAGACATACACACAAAAAAAATCAATTTAATTCCATCAGCATTTTTTCCCCTCTAAAGTCTTCAAAATTGATATACCAAGATAATTGGAATTACATAATACAGAAAGTTCTATCATAGTTACATAAGAATTGGAAGTGACCTGACAGGCCAGCTATTCTCGTCTTTTACATTTTACAGATCAGTACCATGAGTGACAAGTAAGCAATATAATTTGCCCATGGTCACATAAGTTCTAAGCGAAGGAGCTAGGATTTGAACTTGTGTCTTCTGATTCTAAAATCAGTAACCAAAGTTAAACTATAACTATTGTGGAAAAGAGGGTTTGGAAGAGATAGAAAGAAAGAGAAATGTTTTTAAATTTAAAAAAAGATATATTGATTTAGATGACAGACCCACTACAGTCGCTCTGAGAGTCGGCATGTTACATAAATTTCCCCATATTCCAACTCACATACCATTTAAAAATATATTTAAGAATTAAAGTACCACAATATAAAATACAGTCCTTTAACTACTACTTTTAAAAAAATTCTTAAATTTGAGGTTCAAAACCTCAAACAAGTTAAGAAGTTTCTAAAATCATATACTTTAACTGGTAATTTTTGCCCTTTCATATACGTTTGCTTTGGAATGAAAGGTTAGATATAAGTACATGGAGGAGGTCTCTTTTTTTTTTTAAAGCATGCCTTTTCAATCATGTCATGAGACAAGTTGAGTCTACTTAGAATATATAATGGTAGGAAAATATAAAGCCTCCCTTCCCCCAAACAACAACAACACTGCTTTCTTGCACAAAGCTCTTTTTATTCCATCTCCAATATGATACAGTATTGACAAACACATTTGAAAGAAAATAAAAAATTTATTCTAGAGCTCATTAGAGTACTACATAACAAAAAATTAGTAACATGCTTTGGCAAAAGATTTTAATTCATTTCTAAGATTGAATTAATATTTACTATAAGATTATATCATAAAGAAAATATGGCTTAAAAGAAAGTAATATATACGGAAAGGAAGTTGAAAAGACTTGAATGAAACTTAAAATCTGTTTCGTTTCTGGAATATCTTACAAGCTTAAGATAGTATCTATAACTGTAATTAAACATCTTTGAAGCCCAATACTTTGCTAACAAAAGCAAATTATTTGTATGATTTCTCAACTTAGACCAACCTTATAAATAACATGCATTTTCTATAAACCGATACAGCTCCAATAAATCAAAAAATAATAAAACAAACCCAAAGTGTTAAATAGGAAAAAACATATTTTGATACTCTATTTATTATTAAGTTATTTTGGATTTTACATTATATAGTGAAAAATAAAATATAATTCACCAAAAAAAAATCCTTTTCTCTCTATGTTGTGAAGAATTACACTAAACTGAAATAATGGGGCCCAAGTATGACTGATAGATTGGCCCTGCCTAGCCTAAGAGAAAGAAGGGCGATAAAGCAGGCCAGCACCATCTCATTGAAAAATTGATGCTATTCTCAAAGGGCTTGCTCTTCTCCCCTCTCTCTTCTACATGACAACCCTTTAAATGCCTAAAAGACAAGTTTCCATATTCCCCATCACTCTCATCTCCAAGAAAAATACCCACATTTTCCACAAATGATGTTCTTTATCTGGAATGATCACCAACTCTTCCACCATCCAGGTCACTATCTTTTCTCAGTATTGATCAATGACTCCTAAAATTTGGCACAGAACTAAGAACAATATTCCCAAACTAGACACTATATTTCAATTAAGGAAAATTAAAACTCAAATGACAAGTAACATGGTGCCATGGAATAAAGCCAGAATTGGGGCAGATAAGTGGTGCAGTAGATAGAGCACCGGCCCTGGACTCAGGAGGACCTGAGTTCAAATCCAGCCTCAGACCCAACACTTGACACTTATTACCCAGGGTCAAGTCACTTAACCGCAACTGCCTTAAAATAAACAAACAAACAAACAAATACATAAATGAATGAACAAACAGACAGACAAAAAAGAAAAGAAAGCTAGAATTATGGTTAGCAAGAAGCATCATAGGATCACTGAATCACTGCAGAAACTGAGTCCTTGAGAGTTTATTTCCTCTGATGCTTGTCCAAAGACACATGGGAAATTAGGATCAGAAACAGATGTTAAACACAGGTCTTCTGACTACAGAGGCAGCTTTCTTTCCCCCGACCCCTGAATTCTTAATTTTTTCCTGGTCGTATCACCCTAGCAAATCATTTAATCTAAATGCCTAAGGCAGCTAGGAATATGGTTTGTTGAACTGTGTTCTTACTCACTGGTAGAGTTCTTTCATACAAATGAAATGTCAGGTCTGAATGCATACCCTCCAAGAAGGAGGGGGGGGAAATGTTATTTGCTATCACACTACTGACTCACTTTGAATTTGCAGTCACAAATATGCCCAGATTTTTTTCATGTAAGTTATATTCTAATGATGCTTTCTCTCAGTCTGTACTTTTATTGTAAATATGAGTTGTAGGAGTTTGCATTTATTCCCACTAAATTCAATAGTATTCAATGTGGGCCATCATTCTAGCTCATTAAGATCTTTTGGGATGCTTACTTTATGTTTACTACACCTTCAAGTTCTGTGGCCCTTACAGATTTTAGAACTGTACCATGTATGCTTTTACCCACATCACAGATGAAGACAACAAACAGCAGAGTGTATGGGACACTCATCTAAGCCACATATCTCTATCTTGTTCAAATCAATGAATGGGTGTTGCCTCAAACAAACTGAAACCTGGGAAAGACCTTAGCTTAAGAAATCCAAAGTCTCCCACTGCCTCTGGGGCCATCTCCAGCTGTCCTGACCTATGTCTTGCCATTGGACTCAGATGACTCTGGAGGACAGGGTGAGGCTAAAGACTTTGCATAGCCCTGCCTCACTCAAATCCAATTCCCTTGCAAGTTAAGAAGTTACCCTCCATATGTTACTGGTCCTCTTTGAGAACAAAACAACAATCACGAGAGACCATCAAATCCCTTGTTAAAATTCAAATATACCTTGTTATGGCATTGCCTTTATCTATCAGTATAACTCCACAAATAAGGATGTGAGGTTAGACTTGCATGAACATTTCCTAAATGTTTACAAATCATCCCTTCAACTCCCGAAAAAAAATGTAGAATGTTATTAAATTCAAGCTACTGGACTTTTGCCTCTTCTCTGATATCACAAGTTTGTTTATTACAAGTTAGATACATTATTAGAAGCTTTTAGTCCCTTTAATACTGAACTTCAGACAGACTCTCCAAAAGGTACAATCCTCTTCCATTTCTTTTCTGTATATATGTTGTTATGTGAATGTCTTGAAGACTATTTCATGAAAATACTTTTCCTTCAAGAATTTTCCATGTTTGTCTTACATATGATGCAATCTGCTCAGATGTCTGTCAAAGTAAAATGAATAAGACTCTCATTCTTCTAGAAAAAGCCTGAGAAAAGGCTAATCACATTAATTCTCACCTTAAAACTTAACTATATTATTTTAATTTTTTACTGTGTAACTACATTTCAGGAGAAATGATTTCAAAGAAGTCATATGTGGTACAACAGTGTTTTACTATCCTCATGAAAGTTTTAGTCAGGTCTTTTTTTTAACTTAATATCAACTAATGTTCTGAAAGAGTAAAGGCCTCCTTGAAACTAATTACATAAAATGCTTAGCATTAAATATGTTTGATTATATTTTAAAAATTGAGAGCTCACTGAAAGATTTCTGGAACCTATAAAAGCCAATATTTAGGCGGGAAAGAAAAAGGCCAAGAATAAAATAATGTTTTATTAAAGGCCTTTAACCAAAATCACTGCCTTGTCTTACAAATGATGCAGAAACGTAACAACATAGAAGAAAGGCAAGAGTTAATCAAGACTAGTTTCTGAAAGGCCACGCATTTACTTTCTAATTTGAAGTTGAATAACTTTATAGGTCTTCCATAATTATGTCATCTACTTACGCTTTATATAACATGTAACTTTTTTTTATTTTTAAACTCAAAATTATACCTTGGTTAGTTTCCTGGCAGAAAATCTACTGGACGTGATTGCTTATTTACTTAAATACAAACAGCTTCTAAAGTTCTAGCAAATTTCCATATACTATTGCTATGTCAATCTATCAAAAAAGGAGGCGTTTTGTTTGCTTAAATTATTAGACCTGAAAAAAAAACTATATTAGATGTGAAAATTCTACATGTCCCCTTGCTAAGTCCACTTCTTATTCACTTTAATATCAATAAAACAA